TTTTTTTTTTTTTTAATTTTTCTCCTTTTTCTGTATTTCTACAGAAATGAAAAAAAATGGGGGAAAAAACCTGAAAATAACTGAAAACAAGGGTCCTCTTTTTTATTTCCCATTTTCATTGCAAATGAATGGACAGTCAAAAGTAACATTGGGAAAAGAGGCTGTTTTCAGAGGTTGTACAGTGCCATCAGCAATCACATGGGGAAAGGTGACAAAAAGATGTATTTCCACTGATCCAGCTTTTCCTAACGTGAGGAGGCCAAACAGGTCTGACTGGAATTGCTCCTAAAAAAAACCCCAGAACAATCCTACCTAGTCTTCAGTATTGGATCAACTGCAGGAAAGACTTAAAGGTTAGAAAAACAGCCTCCACTAGTCAGCATGGCTCTAGGAAAACCCGAGCCTTGCCAAACATTGTTTCAGAAGAGGTTGCAGATTTGATGACAACAAGCTATTGTATTAAGCTCTGGGCAGATCCACAGGAACTGAGTGACCTCTTTGGGTCACAGATCTCTGCCACAAAGAGCCTGGGGTTGCCCCTTCCCTGCTGGAGGCAGCACCTCACCAGTGCTGTGTCCTGCTTGGCTCCTTTGTAGCTGCAGCCTCTGGCTCCCAGGTGAGTCTTGTGCATCTTTCATCCAGGTATCTGGGAAATACACCCCCCTGCCACAGGCTCTGTGGAGCATTAGCCAGGGCCTGGCATGCATTCCTGATCACATTCCACATTCCTGGTGGAGCAGGGGTAGGCTGGCTGCTCCATCCTGGACAGAAACGTCAGCTTGTGGATTGGTGGATGCATGGGGCATCGCTGTCCTCGTGGCTGAATCTGGGCATGGGTTGAAGGCTGCTTGTCCCAAGGCAGTCATTAGCCAGGGAGCGCTAATGAACTGCTCAGCTGCTGTGTGTGCCATTCAACACCTTTAAAAGGGGACACAGAAATCCCTGGAGGCTGGAAGGCGGCACAGCTGCTGAATAACCAGGGGCACTGGGCACTCCTCCAGCACAGGCAGCTTGGCCAGTGCAATGGGCACATCCCCACAAGCCTGGATTCCTGTTCCAGAAGCCCTGCCACCTGTGCAGACCTGCTGAGCCTGCTGTGCCAGCCTTGCCTGTGCCCAGTGGCTCCAGGACATGCTGGTCCCCTCCCAAACCCCTGCTGGTCCCACTGGGTTCCTCTATTTCTCTCTCTCCTGTAACGTGCAATTTAGTACAACTCTGCTCCTCCCAGGACCACAGAATACAGACCCCCTTGCACTGGACAAGCACACACATATAATTAATATCATTAATATCATTAATATCATTAATATACATTAAATAGGAACTGACATGCCTCGGGATGAAGCCAGGCTTTGCTCAGGTGTTGTCTGTTGTGATGTGCTGCCCCATCTGGGGAGGGCTTGTGTTGGGCTTGGTTGGTTGGGTGCTTGGATTGATTGTGACTTTCGTGCCTAGCATGGAGTTGATTTGAGCCAGTTCAGAACCAAAAAGGAGGCCAGAAAGGAGTGCCAAGGGCACTTCTCCCTGTGTACACCTGCTCACTGGTCTCTCCTGCTTTCTGCTGGCACCCTGTTTCCAATGATCTCTGGTTTCTTTCTGTTTCCTGGCTGTGGTTCAGGCAATGCCAGGGCTGCTGCTCTGGGCTGGAGAGCTGTGCTTTTTCTCACCTGCTCTTCCCTTGCAGGATGTTTGTGGCACAGCAGATCATCAGCAGTAACCTCCTGCTCCTCGTCACGGACACTGTCTGCGATTGCAGCGTCTTCCCACCCGTCCCAATGGATGCAAAAGAGGTCAAATATATCCTTCCGTGCACAGCAGGGATGCAGGGCTCCGCTGGCCCCATCATCTCCGTGTTTGCCAGGGTGGAAAATGTGTTTCTGCTGCCACTGCCCTGGGGGTGGAGAGCACGACGTGGCTTGGAGAGGTCTCCAGCCCGTGCAGGGTGACCCGTCCTTCCTCATCCTCCCGGCTGGTGCGGTTACAGCCGGGCAGAGCTGCATCCCGCGGCTCCGCGGGGCGTTCATCCCCTTTGCTGTCCTTGGGCGTTCATCCCCTTTGCTGTCCTTGGGCGTTCATCCCCTTTGCTGTCCTTGGGCGTTCATCCCCTTTGCTGTCCTTAACAGCCCCGCACACAACGCGTCCGTCAAGTGCGAGAGGATGCGCTCGCAGAAGCTGCGCCGCCGGCCGGACTCGTGCCACGCCTTCCACCCTGAGGTATCCCGGGACAGGGGGGACAGCCCGGCATGCACGACTGGCTCCTCTGGCACTCTGGAGGTGCCTGTCCTGCTGGAGCTGGGTGCCAATCCCGGGGGGTTCCTGGAGGAGGATTTCAGCCTGGTACCGCCCGGGAAGGGCCTGGGCTCGGAAACCGTGGGGTCAGGAGCACACACACACCCAAAAACACACACACACACAAAAACACACACACCCTGCTAGGTGGGTCCCACGGGGGGCTCCTGTGGCCAACAGGAATCCCACCAGTCCCTGCCTTGGTTCCTGGTGGAATCTCTCGGCCACAGGCACTGCTCCCTCTCCCAAAGGTGGCGGGCGGGCTTGGCAGCAGGCAGGCTGACCCTTGTCTCCCATCCGGCAGGAGAATGCCCAGGACTGCGGTGGCGCTGCTGCCATCGCCGTGTGGCCGACGCTGCTGCTCCTGCCCCTGGTGCTGCTCCTGCGGTGACGCTGCCCGGGGCAGCCACGGACCCGGCGGGACCCTGCGGGACACGGTGGGACCCTGGGGGACACGGTGGGACCCGGAGGGACACGGTGGGACCCGGAGGGACACGGCCCCTGCTGGGACACCGAGGGTCCCCCGCCGCAAGGGCCAGCACGGTGCCGACCAGGAAGGCTCCTCGGAAGGCTGTGGCCAAAAGAGACGCGAGAAGCGGCAGGGGCAGCTCCTGTCACAGCAGCTCCTCCGTGACCCCGCTCACGGCCATCCTCGCCGTGGAGAGCATCCTCCAGCATCCTCCCTCCCAGCCAGCCGGGCTGCAGGCGGCAGAGCTGCCTCGGGGAGAGCCACCGCGCTTTTGAACAGCCGCCTCTGGAAACAGCATGTCCTGCTCTCGGGGGTGGGACACGGCCCCAAAGCTGACCTGCACCACCCTCCCCGGCAGCTGGGCAGTGGGAGGCAGCACAGCTCGGCTGGGAGCTGCAGCCACGCCAAGGAAACCTCTCCTGACTCTGCTAGAGCGTCCAGGTTCTTGTCCACACGTGGACTTACCTCTGGAAAGGGGTTTTGTGTGACCCACCAGAGTGGTGGCTTAGCTGCTCTCTTCATTGCAGAAGCAGCAAGGAAACAGGCACTTTTCCCCTCAGAACAGCTGCCCTGCCATTGCAGCTGTCCTTGCTTGTCCCTGCCCTGAGCCTGGCATTCCCAGCTGGTGGGCACGGGTCATTTCTCACAGAGCTTTATGGACAACGGATGGGGAGCACCCATTTTTCTTTTTTTTCTTGTTTTTTCTTTTTTTTGTATGAACTGTTCCATACCATCTCATTAAAAACAAATATATGGCATATTCTACATAGACACCATAGCTTCAGCGAGTTTGGTGGTCACACAAATCCCAGAAACTCGTGGGGACAGGGTGTGGGTGGGGGGGACTGCAAACACAGCTGTGCTGGCCCCAGGGTAGGACAGCAGCAAGGCAGAACCTTTCCCTGGTCACTCTGGGAGCCTCCTGCAGCCCTGCAGGTCCTCTGTGTCACACCAGGATGTCACCTCCTTCAGGACAAGAGCCCTCCTGGCTCGCTGCCTGACAAGCAGCACTGCCCACACGTGCCCAGGGCTCCTCTCCAGACCCTCTCCTCTCAAGAGCAGCTGGGTGGGAAAGGACTTTATCCTCACTGCACGTCTGTCCCTGCCCAGCAGGCACCCACAAATGCACTCCAGGCATGCTAGGGACACTGGCCTTCCTGCCCCCACGTCACCTGGCACTGAGGGGACAGATCAGTCCCAGCCAGGTCCTGGCAGGGAGCTTCCAGGACCTCAGAGCTCCCGCTGTGGGGTTTTGCCTGGAGGAGGGCAGTGTTACAGCAAAGAGAAGAACCACTTCAGTACTGGAAATAAAACGAGATGGAGAAGGTTCCAGGCTTCAGAGGCAGTGACCTTATCAGAGCCAGCAGCATCCACAGAGGATGAAGGCAGGATGGAGGAGAAGGGGCTGTCAAGGCCGAGGGCTGGCCCAGCTCTCGCAGGGTGCCTGCCCTCCCGGGGCACCACTCTCAAGGATCACCTCCCTGTCAGAAAGGATTAGCAGCCCCATGTGCACTCAGCTCAGCCAGGACATAGAAATGCACATTGCTGCGCTGTGGATGAGCCATGCCTGGCCTCAGGTGCACTAATCCACGATAAACACGGTCCTGCAGGGACACCTGCACTCACAGAGAGGACGAGAGTTATTCCTGCCTTGGTTGGTTCTGTGAGTTTGTCCACAGGTGCTAACTGGAGGGAATGGAACAGGGGTGAGATCTGGATTATGTCTTAAACTGAGAAATGCCAGCAAAGGTTTGCCTGACTCGAAACCTGAGCTCACACCAGGAACAGCTTCCTGGGTTTTGGGGGTTTTATTGTAGCAAAGCAGATCATAAGCAAACCTACCCAATTCTGGGCTCCAACACGGGGTTAAGCAAATTCCATTTCATGCTCTGACAGAGATAGTGACTCATGGCCCTTTCAGCAAGAGAAAAATCCCCAGGAAGAGCAGCTGCCTCAGCTTCCAACTTCTTGAGCCATGTGCTGGGCACAGCAGATGGAAATAGGTCAGCAAAAGCAAACAGCAGCCGAGGCCAGAGGATCCAAGCGGCAGCAGAGCAGCTGCGAGAGAAGCCATCCTTCCCTTCCAGCATCCTAGTGCCATCCTGATCCCCAAACCCTAGCTGTCCCTCCTGCCAGAGCCCACCCACCCTGTGAGCACACAGAGCAGAGCTGCAGGGTTTGTTCTCCTGGGGGAAGATGCAGTGGGAGAGAATTCCCGAGTGGTGCTCTGCAGGCAGGGCTGCCCATCACCCCTCACTGCTGCACAGGGCTCCACAGGCCCGACATCCACAGCCGATTTCCTCACAGGCAGGGGGACAGGGAGCTGGGAAGGGACCTGAATTCTCCCCGTGACACTCCTTGCAGGCTTCAGGAAGAGCCCACTGCAGGCTGAGGTAGGGCTGGATGTGCCCCAGGAGGGCAGGGACACACAGCATCACACTGCTGGGACAGAGCAGCTGCTGACTTCACAGGGGCTGATTTCACTCTGCAGAGCAGTGGGCAAATCAGCCCTGCAGTTCCAGGCACAAAACGGGGCTGGCCTGAGCTGGTTTGGGCTCAGGAGAGACTGGCACGTGCCAGGCTGGGCAGAGCAGGGTGCCACACGCTCCGGGGGCGCTCAGAGGCGTGGGGGGTGTGTGGCCCATCTGTGCCACGGGGAAGGAGCAGTCCCACAGCTCTGCTTGGTTCTGTGCACGCCTCAGGCTCCTCAGGATGCTTTTTCTGCTGAGAAAGCCCAGTGGCACTGTCAGCACAGAAACCCTGGGCTCTCCCCAGCCTCTGCTTGCAGGGGAGGGGCTGAGATACAGCAGATACTTCTGTGCTGAGCAAATTCTCCACAGCAAGCAGAGAGAGAGCATCAAAGGCCCGTGTGCCAAACACTCCATCAGCAGCTGGGCCCTCGCTGAGGAATCACTGGGAATCACTGGGAATCACCGGGAATCACTGGGAATCACTGGGAATCACTGGGAATCACCAGGAATCACTGGGAATCACTGGGAATCACTGGGAATCACCAGGAATCACCGGGAATCACTGGGAATCACTGGGAATCACTGGGAATCGCTGGGAATCACCAGGAATCACTGGGAATCACCAGGAATCACTGGGAATTGCTGCTCCTGTTCCCCCTGGACACTGGGGAGATCCCCCATCCCGCAGCACAGCTGCTCCCCCCCACCACCTCTGCCTGCCCTTGACAGGAGCCTTTACACTCCTGTCACTGTCCCCAGCACACATCTGTCACTGGGCCAGCACTCACCTGTGTCACTGTCCCCAGCACTCACCTGTGTCACTGCCCCATGACATTGGCTACAGCACTCTGGGATGGCCCCACAGGGACACGACCCAGCACATTTCTGCTGGATTTTCATCATTTCAGGAGGACATTTCATCAGCCTTTCCTGCTCCGCTTGCTGCTGCTGTCTCCAGCTGTGGGAGCCCTGGCACCCCACCTTTCCCCAGGCACGTCCCTGCAGGGCTGGCCCCTGAGCTGTGTCTGGCTCTCCGGGGCCAGGCCCCTGCTGCTGTCCTTGCCACCAGCACCAGGGCAGCAGAGCCTGTGTGTTCGGGCTGCTCCCCCAGCTCTCCCCCAGGAAAGGCTGTGGGGACAGGAGCTGCAGCCTCTCTGGAGGCCAGCACTGCACCAAGGGCTGGCCTCTCCCGGGCAGCAGGGACAGACACAGGGAAGTCCCCACAGCAGTGACACGGCCAGAGCCCCGGCTGCTCTCGCCTGTCTTGGCCAGCAGTGACTTTCTCTAGCCCCTGGCAGCAGCAGCTGGAGCCTGCTGTCACCTCCTGCTGCCCGGCCCGAGGGACACGATATCGCTTTCCAAGCTGGCAGGAGGCTCCCTGGCACAGGCAGCGATCCCAGCCCGGCATGGGGAGCTGGGCCAGGGCCAGGGCAGAGCCGCGGGCAGGAGCCGTGGCCAGGAGCCGGCAGGGAGCTGGTGCCAGCGGCTGCTCCCCCCCAGGAGGGCTGGATTCCCGTGCCAGCAGCAGATGCCACCCCACAGCCCCGTCTGCCCGTGCCAGCCTGGCCACAGCCACACGGAAAACTTGGGACTGGGGGAGCTCGGCTCCAGCCAGCGCCAGGACAACCCCAAAACAGGCAGAGACCGGCAGGGTTAGAGGTGAAAGCAAAGCCAGCCACTGGAACTGGCTGGGGTGGCATTTGCCTCTCTAAGGAAGCGCACCATTGCTCTGGGAACCCAGCCAGGCCAGTGATTTTCCCATCTCATTTACAGCTAGACCGGTTTTTATGCTGTAAAGAGACTCCGTGCTCAGTGGTGCCACTACAGAGATGGAGCTGCTACTGAACGAGATCATGGTGAATCTCCAGTGCAAGCATCTCCCAGCTCTACAATACCTCTGGAGCTTAAACATGAATTTTACCAGAGAAAGGCAAAGGTGAAGCTTCCAGAAACACCAGAAAATTTGATCACTGTGAGGGTGGTGAGGCCCTGGCACCTGGCAGCTGTGGCTGCCCCATCCCTGGAAGTGTTCAGGGCCAGGTTGGAGGTGGCTCTCAGCAACCTGGTCTGGTTGGAAATGTGTCCAGGCAGAGGGGCTGGAACTATGTGATCTTTAAGGTCCCTTCCAACCCAAACCCTCCTGTGACTCTGATAAGCTCCAGCTGGCAAAGCAGCTCCATGCTGTGACCCAGGAGTGCTGGGCTCCCATCCCACTATCCCTGCCCAAGGAACCAACCTTCAGTGGTGAACAAGGAACTGCTGGCCCTGCAAGGCTCTCCTAGCAGCTCCCAGGTCATGGTGGGCAGTTCCCCCCTGCACTTCTCCTTGGCTGCTCGTTGCTCAAACAGCTGGAGATGACCACGTGTGACATTCTCCACGGGCACTCGAAGTATTCCTTCTTCAAGAGCAACATGCACCTAGGAATTACCACATACAGTCTCCAAGGAACTGATCTTTTTAAGCCACTTCATCCAAACCACATTACTGCTCCACACTCCTGGAAATCAGCCTGGAGAATCTCAGCTGGGGCATTCCAGGCAGATACAGCAGCACTGTGCAGCAGGAGGGCTTGGTTCAAACACAGTGCTTTGATGCCAGGCAAGGGTAAAAAAAAAAGAGAAAGGGAGGAAGAACTCAATTTTGCCTTTAACAGCTTCAACTAAACCAGTCAGTGCCTCCATCCTGATCATGTACTTCATTTATCTCCAGCTCGAGAGAAAGTTAGGCAATAGCCCCAGACACTCACCTTGACAGCAGCACTGGAAACAGAATAAACCCAATTCACATTCAAATGTGGCAGCTACTTTTAGTGTAACTTGCATGAAATCTGATCCAAACATCCTCCACGTTTCTTGAATTTGCTTTTCATTAAAATAAAAGTAGTAATAATGGTAATAACAGCCCATCCTGAGACATCCATGGAGCTGTCGAGGTGATCAGCAGGAGCTCTCTCTCACAAGTCACTGCAGAACGCTGACCTGGAGTGAAGGAACTGACCAAAAGCACAGCTGGGCTGGGGACACCCACAGCCCCAGAGCAGCATTAGCTGTTCCCCTTCCAGGCAATTCCCAGATGTCACCTGAGAGCCAAGGAACAGCAGAAGACCTCACTGGGCACAGGCTGTCCTGGCCACCACCAGCCCCTCTCCCTGCCCAGTCAAAGCCCACTTGTGCCAGCCCCTGCACAGTGGGAGATCAATCCTTCACACAGGATGGGAGGCGCTTCCTGCCCATCAGGAATTGAAATCCAAACCTCCTGACAGTCTTTTCTTTATCTCAACTCACCTAAAATTTTGCCCACAACCACCAGTCTCCAGCAACGACCCTTTCTTCCCTCCAGCTCTCGTGCTTTGCACCCTTGTCCCCTCCTGCCCACACAGCGCAGAAAGACCCGGACCAGACAAAATCAATTTGGTTCTTTTATTAGCAGAAGTTAAGAATACAGCAAGTAATAAGATCCCATCTTATATGGAACCATCACCAGAGTCCCCAGCCATCAAAACCCCAGAATGTGCTTCATTGCTTCCAACAGTAAGCAATTGTTAAAAAGAAATATACTGAACAAGGCCACTATTTAATGGGGAAGGAAAGAAGCTGTAGGTCCTAACTATTCTATGGCAATAACCTGCACACAGAGCAAGCAAGCCTCTGACTGCTGAGAGTAAGGCATTCAGGTGCCAACCTGGGAAGAGTTCTCAGCAAAAGCTACAGAAAAGTGCACAGCTAGGTTGTTTTTATTGGAACACACAAACTTCTTGAACAGAGAGACTGACTGGGTTAAGAATAGCAGGTGGAGTACTGTGTTTTTGTAATAGCTCTGTGCTGCGCAGGACCAGGTTACAATCACCCTTGGAGGAGTGAACGTGGGATGATCCAGGATGGAGGCTGCTGCTTCTGCTGGTACTGTTCAGAGGTATCCCAAAGCACCTTCCAGCCAGCTCTGCTTCTGATATGCACACACAGCTCACACACAGCACGCTGCCTCCAGGCACCTCCCCAGCCTCGGCTGGGACGCCAGTGCTGCCAGCCCTTACGCCCAAGGTGATACTGCCCTTCCTTCAACTTCACTGCCACAGACCTGGGATCAACTTCCAGCCCTGCAGGCACCCAATATCGGGATCCTACTGGGAACTCTGCAGCTGACCTTGCTCTCACAGGCTTTACTCCACTCCAGGGCTGAAGCCTTAATGCCCACTCAGCTTTAGGAGGGGATCATCTCCTACCTGACTCCATCAGACAAAGCAACTCCCCAAAACACACTGTGACATCCAGGCTATGGGAAGATCTTTGCAATCCATCTCTTCTCTCAAAGAATGCAAACTGAAACTTGAGGGAATCTAAAAAAAAAAAAAACAAAACCACCCCACACAACAACCAACAACCCTTTACCTTCCTTCCCTGTGAAACACTGCATGCTATGAGCTGTTTAACTCATCTGTGAGAGAGGCAATTGCTCTGAATTTCCAGCTAAAGCCTCCAAGCAATACCTGTGCCATAACAAACAAAATGTTCAAGTTTCACCTTCTGACTCCAATGATTCTCCTTCAGTCTGGTTCTGACTGGGCTCCAAAGCTCAAGCTACATCCATTACACAGGAGAAGGGTATTTGCCTCCCTTTATATAGGAGGTGTGTCTGCTCCACAGCAATCCAGCTGAACTCTCAGGTTTAGGCTTAAGAAATACCAGCAGTCCCACTGCTAAAGCACAGATGGAAAGCAGACCCAAGGACAGAAAAAAACAAAATAAAGTAAAATAAAATAAAAGGAACTGCATTGGGCTGGTTAGGGATCTATTCCTTCTAAAAGAGAAACCTGCAAACTGCCTTGGCATGTGGAGCCTGACACACAGGATGGTCATGTGCCTGAGGTGTGCAGTGCCTGCTAACTCTGAGTCCTGGAGCACACAGCTTCCTCTTTCCAGCCCCTCTGAACCCCACCTCTGTTTCCCCTGACGTGCTCAACGCTCTTCTGACCAGTCTGTTACCATCATCCCTCAGAGCAAAGGAAGCAAATGGCAACCATCCTCTCCTGGGGGCCTCTGGGTGTAGGCAGGCACTGATGGAGTTGGACTGTTTGCCATTTCACTGCAGGATCCATCATCCCAAACCTCCCCCTGCACACGGGCTGGGAATGCAGCAGCTGCACCTTTCCAGTTACCTGGGCAGATCCATTTGCTCACACTGTGATTGATCCAGCCTTCACAGCCCTCATGTACATGTCCTGAACCTCCTCCAGGTGCTGGCCACAACCCCACCTTGCCCAGGGCACGCTGGCCACCAGGAAAATCTACAGGCCCGGCGTGCTTCACTCCTGGGAATTTTACCTGGTCCTCCTGCAATTGTTTATTTTGTGCAAAATTGAAACAGTGTGTGGTACTTGCATGTTGCATTCTTTACAAAAACCCTTTTCCCCCCACCCATTGTTTAAAACATTTATATAAATTTTATTTAAACAGAAAGTTAGAAATCTTATTTACAATTTGTTTTTCTCCCAAAACAGCATCTAAAATCAACGCCCAAACCCTCCAAGAGGATATAAATTTAACCTTGACTTTTTTTTTTTCTTTTTTTTTAAAAAAAAAGGAAACTGCTAAGCTATCCCTCCCCAATTCTACAAATAAATATGGCATTGAACAGAAGCCGATTTGGAAAGGGTCCTCTGTAGCTCAATCTGTAGATCCCAAGAATAAATTAGGTTTTCAGAATTTCCTGGTCTTCAAATTGATTTATTCCATTGCTTGAGGTATAGAATTTATCTTGGTTAGTCAGAATCCCCATGAAGCTCCACGCCTCATCAGCTGAAACTTGGATTCTTCTTAGGTATTCCTTTTGCTAAGCCTGGACGCTTCACCCATGCCGGCGGCTCTCTTTTGGTTCTGATCTGGGGCCGAAGGCTGCTCCTACTGCATCCCCTCCTCCTCTGTGCAGCCCCCTCCCACCGTGAAGCGGAATTCCTGCAGGTTGGAGACCCCGTGGAAGTGCACGAAAGCGCCGGCCACGACGAACACGTGGAACAGCTGGTGGGAGTGGAACTGCGGGAAGGAAACACCTCGGTTTGAGCCCTGCTGCCCCCCGAGCCCCCATGCAGCTGAAGTACACAGTAACACAGTGCCTCACAGTGCCTCACAGTGCCACAGCTGCAGAGCTCTCCAGGCTGTGTTAAAGCCCACCCCTCTGCTATTTTAGCAAAATAATCCAATTCTCTGCACACACACGCGTCCCCCCCTTCCCTTCAGAGTCATCTGAACCAGCTGGTCCACCAAAAAATGTGCCACAAAACTGCTGTAACTCATCTTTGCAAAGGGGGTCCACCAAAAAATGTGCCACAAAACTGCTGTAACTCATCTTTGCAAAGGGGTTTTTCAGATTTTGTTTCAGAACCTTAGGCAAAAGGCTTAAGCAGGACACTTTTAAAACCAGTTCCTCCACAAGACACGCTGGTGGTTCACGGACAAAAAGGGTCCTCTCACACAGGCAACAGCTACAAACTCTGCTCTGGTCACAGGCAAAAGTTTTACCAAGTGGATTCTGCATGCTGGTATTTTATTTCTCTACCACAGAGAAACAGAACAGAAAAATGTGGTATTCTATTAAAACCTAGAACCAACTGGATGTTCTGAATAAATGCCCAGGATGTCACTGACCAGAGTAGAGCAGAATGAAACTGTGAGGGAGCTACATGACAAAGCATGCCCTTGTCTGAGGGAAGCCACACCAATATGGATAATGCTCCTGAAATATTCCTACAAATGTGGATTTGCAGGCTTCATGGGAAGCTTGGAAAACAGTTGGTGGCACACCAGTGCTTTTGGAGCTTAGCTCATTATAGTAACAAACAACCCAAGCAAACTGGTGCTGAGCACAAGCTGCTCAAACAGCCCAGGCCTCAGCCTCACTTCTGGTCTTCTTTTGGGGTCTTAAATTGTACTGCAAGTACAGTGGCCTTCCAAAAGTCCACTTCCCCTCATCTCTACTCTTGCTCCACCCAGCTCCTTTCCTTACATCTTCCTCAGGTATTTCTCCTCCAGTCTTCATGATTCTTTCCCTCATACTGAGTTTCCCCCACCCACCCAATCACTCAGCCTACTATCCCTTCTTCTGGGCCAGAGATCCCCCCTAAGCCTTCCATCTCTGTCCAGCATTTTCACTGGCTATGCAAGACGAGGAGCCAGACATGGGGAAGAACACACTGAACATCAATAACCACGTACTGCTCTGCACAGAAGGTAAAGATGTGTCTTTGCAGGATCCTCAACGCGCACACACACACACAAAAATGTCTGCAGTTCCTCACCCATCTGTTAAAGCTATCCAGAAATGTACTGAGGTGAATCTACACACCAGCAGTTACCTCAGACCAGGCAGGCTGTGCCAACTTGGGAAGAGAGGCACCAGCTAAGCCAGGCTCAGAGAGCCCAGAGCCGTTCGGCCCCTGAAGACCTATTGCTTGTGGTGCAGCAGTGTGATACTTGCAATAGGAAAACATTGACACAACATCCCTCAGGCTCAAGGGGAACCAGCTTTCAACTTGGTCTCCTCATCCAGTCACTCAGTAGACTCACCCAGATGTCACACTTGCCAGGGAAGAATCTCTCCGGGATGCGGGCAGCATATAGTGCAGCACCAGTGATGTACAGGCATGCCATGAGTGCCAGCCAGCCTATCTGCCCCATTGTGGCTGCTTTCAGGAGCCCCTCAGAGATGACAAAGTGCAGAGTGGGAATTACCCCACTAAGACCCAGACCTAGAAATACTCCTGGGAGGTAAAGAAAATGCAGGAGAGTCAGGTTTGAAGGCAGTGGCGGCAAAGGGAGACAATGAAAACACAAAAGCTACGGAAGGAAAACTCAGTATTTGCCAAAGCGGCAGAGAGGTGACAGCTCCTGAAGCTGCAGGTCCCCAGAAGAGATTTATTGGAAAGGAAGCTAAAGAATGCACAAACTTCCTTCACAGACCAGAAGCTACTCAGCTCTATGTCCCAGCAGATAGCTGGAATGTTTCATTTACTGATTGTGCCTGCCAGCTCCAGTGTAGGTGAGGCCAGTTCCTGCTCTCAGCCTGTAGAGGGAACTGAGACCACACAGACCGAGCCTCACTCCAGCACAGCCGCTCAAGAGCAAGACAAGGAGACACAACAAAGAGATTGTTTATCATGTTCTGCACAAGCACCCCTAGGAAACAGAAAAGCAGCATCTGTGCTCATCTGATCTGCCATATAAGAGAACACTGTTTACTTGTTTGGATTTTAGCAGCAAGGACAGAAAACTTGTAAAAACAGTGGGCATGGGGAGGGGGAATATTCATGTCCCACACAGAGATTTTAAGTTTGGCAAGCTGAACGCTCTGAAGGTACCCAAACCTGTCCAGGAAATCTAGATTTATTGTAGACAGCACGTGCAGGTTAAGAAATAAGAAATATTACTATTCAACCCAGCTGTGTGCACATTCCATAGCTGCCCCCTAAAGCTCTCTTTCTTCCTACCTCAAAATGTGAAACCAAATCTGGCTTTGTTCTTTTGATGATGTGGAGAGAAAAACAGTCTTTATCTCAAATCTGTGTTTTATCCAGGCAAATCATTCAGATTAATTCAATCATTCAATGATTTGCTAATGTTATAAAAAAAGCACAAGCGCTACAAGTACACATACACACACCAAGCAGTCAGTTGTTTTTTGAGAAAGCAAAGTTGCTAGATGCAGCTAGAAATCCTTTGCACCACCTTTCCTACTGCACGTGTTACTGTCCATTTCAGGAATGCACCTTTAAAGGACTTGCACCAGCCCTTATCTGTGCATTCAGCTGGGTACAATAAATGCTGAAAGAAAACCCATCAAGCTCCCAATTCAAGAATATTAAGTCTATAAAATTAAGTTCTCTAAAGTCTTCCCAAGGTGCTTTCTCCAAGTGGCAAGTAGGAAGCAGGAAAGGCAGTCAAGAAGCGAAACAGTTAAGTTCAGGTCTTACCTGCCCTTACACCCCGGTATTCAGGGGTGGCAAACATGTCCCATTGTGAGACAATTATGGCTGCAATGCCCAGGACACAAATCACAATCAAGTAGATGAAGCAAGGCTGAGGGTTGCAATAGAAGGAGTAGTACAGCCATGGTACAAAGCTGCCCATTATGAGGAGTGCAATGCCAGAATAATCCAGCCTAGAAAAAATCAAAAATCAGAGTCATAAGAAGTGTGAACCTTTGGAAATCCTCACACCCACACACTCTTTAGTCTACTTCTCACTGCAACTAAATTACTCTCACAATTGCAGCTAAGGGCCTGATGGCAGCTCTTCCACCTACAGCAATGGAATACCTTGACAGACAGCCAGGAAGGCCATTTTTGAGACAGGCACCAGCAATACCTTCAGCAGCCTTTAGACTAAAGCTTTCTGAGGAAAGCTCACATTTTAGCTTCAGATGAGGAAAAAAGCAGTGCAAGAGCCCTCTAAAGACAGGGCACACAGTATGTTCTGAGAACACAGCCAAGGCAAACACTTCAGTATCTGACAAGTGTGAGTTAGCTGGGCATCAGCTTCAGTGACCACAGTGGAATAACGCTGCAATTTTTCAACCATGCCAGTGTGAAAAAGGAAATCCACAGCCCCTGCTTTTTACCACACCCTGACAAAATACTCCTGCAAAAGTGGATGGAGTTAATTTTTCAGATGGAGATTTTAACTGCTGGGCTACTTAGAGGTGGTCTTGCAGATTACAGAATCCTAGGTTGAATAGCCTTAGGAAATACCAGATATTCAGCAGCCAGCCAAAAAGAGAGCGTGCAGTACAACCAAAAGACCAAGACTCTTGATACACACTGTGGAACTGTCTTACATAAGTTTAAGGTTCAAAGTTAGTCAGAGCAGCTGAAATGACAAGAAGTAATGGTTGCACTAAAAATTCAAAGTCCTGCAAGTAAGCTCAAGGCATATTACTTACAGCAGCAAGATGCAAGCACATGCCTGCCAAACAGCAGAAAATGATGGAGTTTTAAGACTCAAATGACAGCACAAAAACTCATGCTGAAACAAACTATAATTAGAAGAAGCTGCATTAAATCTCTGCTCAACTCTGTTCCAAAGTACATGCAGTCATGAAATGAACAACTCCCACACTGGGGCTCCAGGCACAAACCCCAGGCCTGTTTTCCCACCTGTTTCCTATTTGGCCTGCCCTGTTCTCTAGGCACTTACTTGGAGAAGAGCCGGGAAACACCTTCTGAGTGGCAATAAACTGTGTGGAAGAGCCATGAGAAGGAGAGGCAGAGGATGGCTCCCAGGAAGAACAGCCCAACGACCACTTTCTCCTGCACAGGTGCTACGAAGGACATGTTTGGCCGGAACATGTAGAAGATTCCCAGACAAAGGAAGAACACGCATCCTGCAAGACAGCAAGGCAGAGAGCTGTCAAGTCCATGCATACTGAAAGCTTTTCGTTCTGCAAGCATCACCACTCCCCTTCAAGGCTCTCACAAGTTGAAACCGCTCAGAAAAGATGCAACTTAAGCGTGTTCCTGTGGCAAGAAATGCAATCCCAATTAACACCTCTACACACTTGGGAAAAGAAGGATCTAACAGTATTTCATTAACAATTAGGAAATGTTTCATGCATGGGTTTGTATGGCATGCCATAATTGATCAAGTCCCATCCATCTGTGATGGGATAAAACTAGGAGAGGGATACCAAGCTGCTGATTTAGCAGGTTCCTAGTGACAACCCAACAGCCCCTTCTATCTCGCTCTCTTTTCTTTGAGAGCAACAAAACCGTTGGATGAGATTTAGGATCAGATTAAAGCAAGCTGAGAGTACCTAGGAGATGTGTCCAGATGTTGCCAGTCTCTGTGTGTATTCTGAAGATGCTCTTGAAACAAGCCCTGAAGGAAGGCATGGGTGGTCTGTGTCCATGCAGCAGGTAGTCATTGTCCTTCAGCCAGTCGGGCAGAACGTCGTGGGGAATGACTCTCCATCGGCCCTCCCACACCTAGGGGTTCAAAGAGTTCCGTGAAACACAAGGAAAGAGCTCCATCAGTGCATGGAAATAGTCAGAAAACCTGTTTTAGTGACAGTGCTGGAGTTAACCTGTGAGTACAGTAAAGAGAAGAGAGCTGATGGAATATCTCTGGGGAAATATCTCAAAATATCATGCTAAAGTCGCTGTTCCCAGCTCAAAACGAGCTGCACCATCAGAGAAGGAAATACTTCAGCATTCCATTGGACAGGAAGGCTATTGGGCATCTTTACTGCTGATGGAGAGAAAACATTTAATTTGCTTCCATGTTCTGTTCTTTCACAGACCATCTTTTCCATTTCACTGAAGAAGCCTACACCTAGCTGTCTCCAATAAATACATAAATAAGCCTGTTCCTCCACCCTGACTGTCTGCTAACACCTGGGGGAGGCTAGCAAAGGCAGCTATCCATTAGCACTAAGAGGGGTCAGAGAGTGTGAAAGGGTGAGAGCCCAGCAAGAAGAGTCCAACCCCTTATTCAGGTTGGGCAAAAGACGCTGCCAAGCTCACAACCAAATTGTGACAGAGCAGTTAAGGCAACACTCAGGACTCTCAATTCCATGCAATTTCTTCTTGAAAGGGAGAGAGGGGGTTTGTGCACAGAGCTGTTCTTGCAGCTGGCTCCAGAGGAAATGAGTGTGCACAGATGTTCCCAGCACTGCTTCAGTGACACAAGGCACAGGGAGGCTTCAGTTTGGCAGCACCACCAAGGACAGGGGGAGCAGGGAACTGCTTTATGTACCGGGGCTGTTTCTGCAGGGCTCCGTGGACTTGCTGGCTGGCTAGAGTTACAGGAGCAAGGCTGAAGGTTCCTGAAACACTAAGTTTAAAAAAGCTACATTCTTATTTCAGTTTCAACAACAAGAGCCCAGGGTTTTTAAATCAATTCTCCACACTCATGCGTGGAAGCAAAACAAAGCTATCCAGAATAACCAGCCCCGTTAAAGACTGGGTTCTTAAGTACATTAAACAAGAAAATAACTGGTTTAGTTCATGAACAAAAAATGTGAATTGAGGTAGAAACAGAAGGAGGTAATTCTTTTTACACAATACATCCTATAAAACATTTTAAAAGCGGCAAAGATACAGAGTAAAAAAAAAATAACCAACAAAAACAAAAAAACAAAATGACCCACACACAAAAGACCACCAAGTAACTAGGGTCCCTCTGTAAAGTAGTTCACAAAACCAGCAGGAACCACTGTATAAAGGGGCAGCATTCCTTTCAGAAAGGAGGGCCAGAGACTGACACAGCCCAGTGGCTCTAAAAAGTAGCAAAAATTGAGCCAAGGTCAACAATTACAAAATCTACAATAGATTTACTTAGGTATGGTTTCAATACGGCACTGCTTTCAAGTCAGGGACAAAGCTTATTCTACAACAGATGTAAACGGTGCTGGAAAAGCAAAATATTTGCAAATCTGAAGAAATCTGGTCAAATGACCTTGTAAGTCAAAGTGCCTTGAACCAGAAGGCTTTTGTTCTGCTTTGTACTCACAGGTGTTTCTCAAGGGACACACCTGAGTTGCATGATCAGCTCTGGAGTCTCAGTTGTGAATCCCTATTGTTCCACGCTCTGCAATTTAATCCTGTATGACAGACAGGTGCTGAGGAAGTGCAGCATTGCTGCTTAGAACACAAGATGCCCATTTGGGGGAGTGAGAACCTCCTCTCCCTCACATTAGCAGTGCAGTTGCTCCAAGTACAGCCTGCTGTCCACTGGAGCTTCCTAAAAAAAGAAATTACTTCAGCAGTTTCCACCTGTCCTTACCTTACACACGAATTCTTCCATTCTCTCCATAGCATGGTGGGCTTGTAGAAGGGGTGACATTCCCATAAAGCCTTCATCCTCTTGAGGTGGTTCATCATTGTGTTTATTATCCTCAGAACACTGGAGGGGAAAAAAAAAAAGAGAAAATGCTTTGTAGAAAGATGAACAGAGGAAGGCGATGTTGTTTTCCATACAAAACTATGAACTGAGTCTTGGCAAATAAAGAAGTCTCTCCTTGCACGGCACTGAGAAAAGAATTCAGAAGAACAAGCAAAAAAATGATTACATTCTTAGGTACCTGAGAACAACTCACATGTCTGATCCATTCTGCATATGTTTCCAGCAGGTTTGGGAGCCAGCAGTGCTCCTCTAAGTCACGCTTCATTAAATCCCAGATATGGAGTCTGAGGCTTGCAGCCTTCCCACCTCTAGGGAAGGATTACTCCCTATTTTGTGTTTCAATGTCACCGTGCCGGTGTTAATGCCCCTATAATGGATCTGGTATTTCAGGGTAATAAAAGGTAAGCCAAGGAGAGGAATCCCTTTACCTTGTTAGAAATGTTTTACCTCAATTTGCAGTCCAAATCTGAAAATCTATTCTGTTTAACTGACACTTCTGTTCAGCTTCTAATCCAGTACCGGAATTAACTCATTCATTTGATTTTTCAAGGTATTTCAGAAACTACCATGAAACTTCTGCCAGTTAGACAAAGGCAAGTTATCAAAGAAAAGCACTAACAGGGATCAGAGTTTTAAGCAAAGTTCAAACAAAGAGAAACATCCATATCCTCAGGATGTACCAAGAGAATTACAAAAAGGAAAATTAAAATAATCCTCTGAGCTGGGATATCAGGCTGGTACACATCATTAATAACTTTACAGGAACAGTTTGCTAGTTCTCTGCTCTGTCATGACTTATCACATCATCTGCATATTTTGATTCACTCTAGCTTCCCATGGAGGAGAAAAGCAGGGGGCCATGGAAGTTCTGCATTCCTGTTTGCTTCCCACCATGCTCATGGCCCATCAGAGACTCCAATCAACACTTCAGCTTCCAAGATAAACAAACTGGAGGAAGCTGGGAAGGAGAGAAGGAGCTTTTTGCACCTTTCAGACTTAATGCAGAGAGCTGCCATGCACCCCATGGCCACGCCAAGAGAGCCCCACAGCCAGCACTGATTGAGACTGGCCTCCTCCAGATATCCCACAACACTTTTCCCCCTCCTATTCCCATACCATGGTTAACAACTTAAAAATCTAGATGATGTATCAATAATATCATCCAAATGACTGAGAATAGAGTATATAACCTCACTTTATCTACAAATTCTTGTCAGTAATGTTCAGATTAATGCCCTGAACTTTCACACCAGGGATGGGAGCTGGCTGTGCATTTGTCCCACATCACAGCTCTCTCCTTGGTGTCAAGCCTTATTAACTACTTCTGTCAAGTAAACTCAAAAAGCTGCTTAAAATTCTCATTTTTGAATAAATAAAAGGAGACATCTTCCAGCCTACAGTGAGCTATCCAGAGCCTTCAATGCTTTTTGGAGTTTTGATAGAGAAATTACATGTTCATACCTGTTTTGTACCCAAGCCTTGCAGTAGTCACTGAAGATTCATCTTTCAAAGAGGTCCCATCCCAGTTCTTGACCCAATTTTGCTTACCCAGAATGCAATTTCTGGTATGTAATACACAGTACACATCCTTCAAGTTTTATGAATGACCTCACAATTGTCCAGGAAAACTTGATTGCCTAAACCAATTCTTTTAAACCCATGTCCCTTGTACTTGTGTCTATTCACCTTCATTTATCATTCCAGTGAACAACTCCTCTGAACAATATCTTGTATTTTACAGCAATGACTGATATATTGACCAGCTCTAAGCAGATTCTCCAGCAGAAAAAGGCAGCATTAAATACACTCACTCTGCCTAGCTTAGCCCATTAGTGCTATTCAGAAAGGCACCAGGCAACAGAAAGATGCAAATAGGTTTAATATCCTTCTAAAATAGGCATAATTCCTGTTAGGCACAGGAATAAAAAGCCAATTTGGTTTCATTCTGACTCAACAACATTCACTGACATTACTTCTCCACACTGTCAATTTGACTGCCTTTTGCTACTAATGGAGCTCTCCAGGACTCTCAGTTTTCAATATCATAAATAATTAACTCAAGGTCATAGAAACACAGAATGAGCTGGGTTAGGAGGCAGCTTTAAAGATCAACTAGTCTAAGTGCCCTGCCATGGAGGCATGGAGAAGATGCTCATGATAGCCTGCACAATTTAGAAGCCAAAGCAGCTTTTGGTTTCCCAGAGCATGCCTTATGGAAAAGGAAGGCTGGCCTTTAAGTTCCAGTGCATTTGACAGAAGCAGCACTGCTGTGCCTTTTAGCTACTCCAGAATTCCCTCCCCCAGCAGCACACAATAACCAGCTCAAAAGGGGTGAACAACTTAGTAACCCTCAATTTACACAACTGGGTGGACTGAAGGGAAAAAAGGTCCCTTATGGAATCAAAGCCTGTATTCATTGCAGTCTGCCCAGTGACTCAATGCCAAAAAATGTTCATTTCCCCCTCTGCACATACTCCCAGTTTCTAGAATGATGGGAAGGCTTAAATTTGAACAGACTGTAAAGCTTGAAGAGCACAGCTATTTCTGAGCTAGTCCAAAATCTTTGCATTTTGGCCATGTGCCTACAAACAAATCATTACTGAGCTTCTTTTGGTGATAAAAGGAATTCATATCATATACACAGTCCAGATTACTGCCAAAAAATGGAATTGATTTTACTATCTCCTTCCTGCCATTAAACTGCAAAATTAGCATTCAAGGGAAGAAAACTAAAGCTCAACTTCTTAGTCCTTTTCTTACTAAGGAGGCAAAAGGAGGCCTGTTCTGGAACACCCATCCTCCCTTGACTCCTTCCCAAAGTCTCTTTGGGAAGAACAGTAAACTGTGCTTGTTGAAAGCCAGAAATCTACAGGGCAACACCAACACCAGTTTTCACTTGGAAATCTGAAGGAGTCTGTTGACTTTCAGTCCTTCAGGCAATGACTGAAAGGAAAGAATACCACTCTTCTGCTTAGGTGTATTGTAACATTTCCACTGTGACTAGCTCCTTGTGTATTTTCTCCTCGTCAGCTGACTGTATCAGAAATTCACGAGTAATTCTAGACCATAACAACATAAGCAAGCACATTCTTTAAGGATGCGTTTCCAACTATTCCTAAGTCCTGCCCACAGGATCACATTTTGAAATTAGAAACATATTGAGTAAATAATATCACTTGCCTAAGTCTGTGCAAGAAATGAGAGTCCAGAAGAAAACTCTGATACTCCCACTTTTAATGAGCTGTGGTATATCCTGAATTAAGTGCTTCAAGAATTACTTTTGCCTTTGTAGTTTCTAGCCCATAGGCCGAAGGGATTTTCACTAGGCTGATGTTTCAGATGTTTTTACATCATCTAATTTACTCAACTTCTTTCAAAGCATCTCAGATTTGACTAAATAATTCTGTGAAGTCTCCAGAGCATCTTAGAGCAACTTTAGATAAACCCCCTGGTTTGTACCACGCAAACTTGTTACAATCAGCAGTTGTCACTCTCCTGCTGAACACGTGCAGCAATGCCTACAATCAGCGTTTCACATAAATCAAGAATCATGGCTCTGGATACTTACACTCTAAAAGGTCTGGACACTTAATTCTATGGAAATGCCAAGCAATTGTTCCAATTTCAATCCTACTCCCTTTGCAAATTCACAAAGTATTAAAGCTGTTAGAAACCAGTACAGGTACCTATGAGATGGAAATTATCCAGCAGATGTATAAACACAAGCTGAGCTGAGTAACAGTACCAGAGAATAAAATAAATCTGAAGGACAAGTGAAAATATCCAGAGGAACCAGCTTTACTGGTTTATCCATACTCACTCTATTTTGTGAAGCATTACAGCTTCTTTTGTGATAACAGTGGCAGACAAGAATGTAAAGGAAAAGGTAGAAATCAGACTTAATTATATCACTTTGTACAGAGAACCAGGCAACACACTTCCAGGGACAGATCATCACCAAAACAAGAATTCCAGAGCATATTTTGGTAGGGATCAAAAAGCTTTAATACCAAACCCAAGACTTAGAGCACCAGAGCAAACAAAGAGCGAGAAACCCAAGAGCTCAATTGCACAGTGCTGATCATTAACAGTAAAATTTCACTTTTATAGCAATGGCACAAAAGGTAAAAAAAGGTTTACATTTAGTACAAGAATTTCTTGTTTGAATGCAGTCCAAAAATGTCAGATCACATAGCCAAAGATCCTGTTACAGAGAAAAGTGAAGTAAAACCTGCTCTAGTAAACGCAATATACTTCTCTTGTCTACTGCAACAGCTTATCCTTCTCACTCAGACTAACAGTTTCTATACTATCACTCTCAAACCTGTTAACAGACACACTGTTTAATAATGTCCTTACTATGGAAAAGCCTGTCAGAAGTCAAGTCATAATTGCAGAAAAAGATTCCCGAAACATTTTTCTCACTTTTGACTAAGTTATGTTCAATGGACTTCATGCAAAGTTTATTTTCTGGAGGTCTGTATTTTCTTGATGTCAGTTTAAAGATTTCTAGAAAGCTTCAGGGTTTGCACATGACTGCTGCTTGCACAAGTGACAAACAAGTTCTGGTTCATCACTTCAGAAAGTGTCATCAATGTTGCTAATTTGAGTGTGCAAACTAAAAGATAAATGAAATCTGAATGGAACCACTTTTTTTACTCTAAAAAGTGGTCATCTTCTCCTTACCCCCAGCTGACCAACACCCAGCCTGTCTCCCAGCAGAGAGCAGCAGCTCCCAGCCAGCTCCCCCCAGTTCATGTACTGGGATCCATGGTCTGGAATATCCCTGTGGCCACTTTGGGACAGCTGCCCTGGCCACGCTCCCTCCCAGCCTCTTGTGCCCCTCCTCACTGGCAGAGATTCTGAAAACCCCTTCACTCAGGGTAAGCACTGCTCAGCCACAATTAAAAACTCAGTGTGTTATCAGTGCTATTCTCACCCTAAATCAAACCACAGACCTGTACCAGCTTCTGGGGAGAAAATGAGCTGTGCCAGTCGAA